TTCTTTGGCATTGCCTTTCTTTGGGATTGGAATGAAAACTGCCCTTTTCCAGTCCTGTGGCCACTGCTGAGTTTTCCAAATTTGCTGGCACACTGAGTGCAGCACTTTCACAGCATCATCTTTTAGGATTTGAAATAGCTCAACTGCAAATCCATCACCTCCACTAGCTTTGTTCGTAGTGACTTCACATTCCAGGATGTCTGGCTCTAGGTGAGTGACCACACCATTGTGATTATCTGGGTCGTGAAGATCTTTTTTGTACAGTTCCTCTGTGTATTCTTGCCACCTCTTCTTAATATCTTCTACTTCTGTTAGGTCCATACCATTTCTGTTCTTTATTGAGCCCATCTTTGCATGAAATGTTCCCTTGGTATCTCTAATTTTCTTGAAGAGATCTCTAATCTTTCCCATTCTATTGCTTTCCTCTATTTCTTTGCACTGATCACTGAGGAAGGCTTTCTTATCTCTCTTTGCTATTCTTTGGAACTCTGCATTCAAATGGGTATATCTTTCCTTTTCTCCTTTTTAAATAGGGGATTAGTCTCCAAAATTTACAAACAGCTCATGTGGCTTAATATAACAACAAACAATCCATCCAAAAAATGAGCAGAAGACCCAAAGTGACATTTCTGCAAAGAAGACAAACAGATGGCCAAGAGGCATGAGAAAAGATTTTCAACATGGCTAATTACTAGAGAAATGCAAATCAAAACTACAATGAGACATCATCTCACACCAGCCAAAACAGAATCAAAGAATCCACAAACAGTAAATGCTGGAGAGGGTGTGGAGAGAAGGAAACTCTCCTTCAGTGTTGGTAGGGATGTAAATTGGTACAGCCATTATGGATAAAAGTATGTAGGTTCCTTAAAAAATAGAGCTGCCATATGACCCTGTAATCCCACTCCTGGGCCTATATCCAGTGAAAAGCATGGGCTAAATGGATACATGCACCCCAGTGTTCACTGCAGCACTGTTTACAATAGCCATGACATGGAAGCAACCTAAATGTCCATCAGCAGATAAATGAATAAAGAAGCTGATGACTGCTACCCTCTGAAGCAGAATGAGTTCCTAATCTAAAGTGGTCCAGTTCAGTTAACCTTACAATTTTCCAGGAGACTAAAATTATGTAGGTGAGATTAAACAACAATATATGCAAACAACTAATCAGAAAATGAGCACATTTGAGCTTTAAAGAAAGTAGGAGTTGAGATTCCGAACAACTATCTACAGATTTTAATTGTTGGCTTACTGTTCAGTCTAACGAACATGAATTGAGGGACTACAAATGCCAGGATGCAGATAGCACAGAGTAAAGTGAAAGTGAAAGTGAAGTCACTCAGTCGTGTCCGACTCTTTGCAAACCCGTGGACTGTAGCCTACCAGGCTCCTCCGTCCATGGGATTCTCCAGGCAAGAATACTGGAGTGGGTTACCATTTCCTTCTCCAGGGGATCTTCCCGACCCAGGGATCAAACCCAGGTCTCCCGCATTGGAGGCAGACGCTTTAACCTCTGAGCCACCAGGGAAGCCCTGCACAGAGTAAGTCACTTAAAAAGAACACAAAAAGCTATAAGCACAGTACCACTGGAACACAGGAAAGGCATGTAACCAGTCAGTGAGGTAATGCTTTGTAGAAGAAGCACACCATTTTATAAAATTCAAGGGAAAACAGCTCCCTGAGAAAAGTTTAATGTCTCATTTTTCAATGTAGACATGTAGTCTACAGCTGTACTGTGCTTAGTCGCTCAGTCGTGTCTGACTCTATGTGACCACATGGACTGTAGCTCGCCAGGCTCTTCTGTCCGTGGAGATTCTCCAGCCAAGAATACTGAAGTGGTTTTCCCTGCCCTCCTCCAAGGGATCTTCCCAACCCAGGGATCAATACGGGTCTCCCGCATTGTAGGCAGATTCTTTTACCATTTGAGCCACCAGGGAAAGCCAAGAATACTGGAGTGGGTAGCCTATCCCTTCTCCAGGGAAACTTCCCAATCCAGGAATTGAACCGGGTCTTCTGCGTTGCAGGTGGATTATTTACCAGCTGAGCTACCCAGGAAGCCCATACTCTACAGCTGCTGCTGCTAAATCACTTCAGTCGTGTCCGACTCTGTGTGACCCCACAGATGGCAGCCCACCAGGCTCCCCCATCCCTGGGATTCTCCAGGCAAGATCACTGGATTGCCATAGATGGCAGCCCACCAGGCTCCCCCATCCCTGGAATTCTCCAGGCAAGAACACTGGAGTGGGTTGCCATTTCCTTCTCCAGTGCATGAAAGTGAAAAGTGAAAGTGAAGTAGCTCAGTCATGTCCGACTCTTAGCTACCCCATGGACTGCAGCCTACCAGGCTCCTCGGTCCATGGGATTTTCCAGGCAAGAGTACTGGAGTGGGTTGCCATTGCCTTCTCCATACTCTACAGTAGTGGCTTTCAAGTTGTGCTTCCCAAACCAGGATTTGAGCAGATGGAGAAGTGGACCAGAGAGGGCAAGTGTTCCTATTTTCTCTTCAATTTGAGCTCATATTCTCCATCTTATCTATTTTATATTTTGGCTCTTTCAAAAAATATTTTACTGAAACATTTTCTACTGAAAAACAAGTTTAAGTACTTATCACTAGAATGTATGCTTCAAGAAAGCCAGGATTTTTTGGTCTGTTTTGTTTACTGGTATACCTCCAGTGCATAGAACATGGAAAATCAAAGAACCATTTAGGCCTTCAACCAATATTTAGTGAGCCAAGCACTGAAATAAGTCAGGCACTGACCTAGATGTTAAGATACAATAGTGAACAAGAGCCCCAAATTCCTGTCCTCATAGAGGTGACATTTCTAGTGATTAATATTTCACAATGGGGGAGGGGGGCAGTTATCTCAGTTGGTTAGAGTGTGATGCTAATATTTCACAATAGGCACAGGGCCATAGAGAATATCTAGATTGTAAGCCCACTAGTTGTTAATTGTTTAGTCGCTAAGTCATGTCTGTCTCTTTTGCAATCCCATGGACTGTAGCCTGCCAGGATTCAGTTCATGGGATTTCCCAGGCAGAAATACTGGAGTGGGTTGCCAAATCCTACTCCATGGGATCTCCCCACCCATGGATCAAACCCCTGCCTCCTGCATTGGCAGGCAGATTATTTACCACTGAGCCAACAGAGAATTCCAAGCTTGCTAGTTACAGTGATTATATTATACCTATCTCTAGAATCTTGCCTGACGATAGAAAGTTTAATCCAGGGTAATACTGCTTTCTGACCTCTGCAATATGACTTCCTCCAGTTCATCCCAAATTCTGCTGGGATACTAGCCTCACTTCCCTACCATGTTAAATACATGGAACTGGTGTCAGACTCAGACAGGGCTCTGTGGTCCACCTGTTCTCAATTCCAAAGCCAAAATAAATCAGAGATGACAAGGAAGCACCACTTTATAAGAAAAGTAAAGGGCAGGGATGGATTATGTGTAAGTGTGCTTTATCGGTAGAAATATGAATGGCTTATACTTCAACTGCAAGGTGTATGTGCCTTGAAGTCTAATTACCTTAAAATTACAGACTAAAACTACTGCTGATGCAAATTTGTGCCACTACATACTGTGGAGTTCAACAACCATTAAGAAACTAAACTGTTGGCGCACGCGCGCTGCCACCACTGCATCACGCTTGCGCGTCCCCGCTGCCCATCATGGCGGCCCCCGGGAACCTCCGGGGCCCGGTCCTAAAAGATGTTGTGGCGTATGTTGAAGTGTGGTCAGCCAATGGGACAGAAAATTACTCCAAGACCTTTAGGAGTCAACTCATGGATTTGGGGGCGAAGGTTTCAAAAACTTTTAACAAACAAGTAACTCATGTGGTGTTCAAAGACGGGCACCAGAGCACCTGGGAAAAAGCACAGAAGAGAGGTGTGAAGCTCGTCTCAGTGCTTTGGGTTGAAAAGTGGGGAGTTGGTGTCATTGTACTTTGCTGAAGAAAAGCAGAAATCCAGCTGATGCAGGGTAGCTGGGGCGCACATTGACGAGTCGCTGTTCCCTGCAGCCAGCACCAACCAGCACCTACCAGGCCTGCTTAGAAAAAAGCGCAAGTGTATGCAGCCCAAAGATTTTATTCCCAAGACACCAGAAAATGATAAAAGGCTGCAAAAGAAATTTGAGAAAATGGCTAAAGAGCTGCAGCAGCAGAAAACCACTCTGGGTACCAATGTTCCTGTCCTCTTATTTGAATCTAATGGCTCGTTGGTATACAGCCCAACCGGTAAAGTCTACAGGGGCCACCACAGTGCAATGAAGGAGAGGCTGCAGGAGATGAAGGAGAAACGGGAAAACCTTTCCCCCACCTCCTCCCAGATGATTGAACAGCCTGATGATAACACTGTGAACTCTCTGTGTGAAGCATCTTTGAACCTTTCACATGATACTTTGTGTTCAGATAACTCTTCTGCCGGTGGTCTGCCCATGTCTGCTGACGATCCTTGTGGAGGCTCTGCAAGTGGGACCCGGGAAAGAAAATGGGGCGAGTTCATCACTGAGAGGGAAAGTGATCTGTGCGCTGCGTCGCCGGTGTTGCAGACAGGCCGTGGCAGCCCCTCAGCAGCTCCCCGTCCCCTGGGTCTCTGGACTCCTCCCAGATCCACCAGCAGTCCTCCCAAGGCAGAGACCCCCCAGCAGAGCAGGGCTGCAGGTGGGGTTGTCACCCCCGTCTCGAAGCCATCGCGGCTGGCGGCCCAGGGGCTGTCTGACGGGAAGAGGCGTTTGTCTCCTGTGTCCTCTGCTACGAAAGGCCGCCCCGAGGGCCGTGCACAAGCCCTGGGCTCCTCCGTCAAGAGAAGGAAGACCCCGGAGAACTGGCCAGCCTCAGAGGAGGGGCGGAAGAGGAGGCGGTCCCTCCAGCAGCGCCCTGTAGCCTGCCTGCGGCTGTGGGAGGCGGAGAGCGGCCTGTGCTCTGTGCGGAGGCCCGCTGTCAAGAGTCTGGCCCTCGAGGAGTCCTCGTACGATGATTACTTTTCTCCTGACAATCTCAAGGAGAGGGTCTCGGAGGGGCTTCTTGGGGAGCAGCTGCCCTCCAGCCCTGCTCCGCTCCGAGGCCAGAGGAGCCTTTCCAAGACCGAGAGGACCAGCCTCCTGGACAGGGCTGACCTCTCCCTCATCGGCAGAGGCCCCAGACCCGCCGTCGGCACCTGCCTGGAGAGGCCTGCGCTCTCCGGGGCAGACGCGGGGCTGGGCAGCGGGACCTCGGGGGGGCATGCCTGCTGCTGACGGGACCCCCGGGCCCTGTGTCCAGGCCGAGGCCCAGGGTGGGGGCGATGCCCGCCCCGCTGGGGGTGACGTTCCGCACACCCCCAGCGGACTCGTCCCCCGGACAGGACCACAGGGAGACCCCAGCCCTCTGAAAGGAAGCAGGGAGGAAAGAATGCACTGACACCCAGAGCATGCAGAAAGAAGGCCCTTCTCTTGAAACGACGGAGTCTGCTGAAGCGCACAGTGAGGGTGAACTGAACTCTGTAGGTGACTGTGCTGAGGAAGGATCCACGGAGAGGAAAGCGCCAGCCCAAGGAAGCAGAGAAAGTACGTGAGCCTCCTTTTACAGGTCTCTGTGCTCTGAGAATGTGCAACAGGGCGTCCGTCAGCCACACCTAACACAGCTTTTTCATAAGCAAAATATTTCTTTTTTCCCTTTTAAAAAAAACTTTGAAGAACGTATATTTGATATTTACAATGGTAAATTCATTATTCCTGAAAAATAGACAGCCTACTGCCCTAAGGAGGTTCTAGGTTCCTTGCTTAAGCCTGTTGTTATGAATACATTTCTCTAAGTCCTATAGGTGCTGTCTTTTGTGAAGAACGGCCTAGAGAGGGTGTTTGTCCTGGTTTCACTGTAGCCTCTCACTGCAGCATCACTGAGTAAAGATGCACACTAGTGGAGAGCTTTTAAAATGATCTGTTTATAACAGGGAGGCTGTTTACTTTAAAAGGGAAATTAAGGCAGTGTAAATCATTCATATGTTTATAACAGTGAAGCTGTTTATTTTAGAAGGGAAATTATGGCAGTGTAAATCATGCATTTTGTCAAGAAAAGACAAAAGCATAAATGTGAAAGTAAGTTATCAATATTTATTTTTGAAAAAACTATCTGGTGTTAGTTCTGAAGAAATATTTTTTTAAAATACTTTAAGCAAGTAGTTCATTGTAATAGACCTTTTTAGACTTCTTTTTATTTGCTTTAAGTGTATAATTTAAATAGATTTATTCCTATCTAATTAAAACCATGGTAGCAGATTATGTCATTATAGCAAAAGTAACAACAGTAGAAAACCTTTTTGACTTTCTGATTATATGCACAAATAGGTTTCAGCAGTCAAAAATGAAAAATCATGAACTTAAATCATCTCCACCTAAAGACTGGGTTAAAATTTCAGTGAGGCCAAGTTTATTCTTCATTATTTTGTTAAATCCTGATATCATCTTAACCTTCATCTTTTTTTTTTCGCCCGTCTTAACCTTTTTAAAATGGAGAAGTCATAGGGATTGAAATGGACATAGTTGTATTGCGTATTTTTCCCTTGGCTCCTCAGAATTATCTCAGAGAATTTAGTCTGTGTATTATTAACGTGTTTATATCTGAGCTTTCTCATCTATATAAAACTTTATTAAATATTTATAAAATACAAAAAAAAAAAAAGAAACTAAACTGATAATCACAAAGCTAAGAATAATGTCAAATTAAAAAGTAGGAATAACCCTGGAGTCCAGTGGTTAAGAATTCACTTGCCAATACAGGGGACACTGGTTCAATCCCTACTCCGGGAATATCCCACATGCTGTGGGGCAACGAAGCCTCTGTGCTACAACTACTGAGCCCAAGCTCTAGAGTCTGTGAGCCACAACTACTGAGCCCACATGCTACAACAACTGAAGCCTACACACCCTCCAGCCCGTGCTCTGCAACAAGAGAAGCCACCTCAATAAGAAGCCTGGGTACTGCAACAAAGAGTAGCCCCCACTCACTGCAACTAGAGAAAGTTTGTATGCAGCAGTGAAGACCCAGTGAAGTCAAATATCAATCCATCTTTTTTTTTTTAAAAAGTAAGAATAGTAGCAATCAAAATCATAGCCAATTCAAGGCAACATTCATAAAGTGGTCTTCCCTCTCAACTGTAGGAGTATCAGTTATCTACATACACACACTGGTAGAGTCTTTGCCATTAAATAGTGCAGTCAAGCTAGAGGTGGTAAATACTGATCCAGAGTTACCAAAGGCTATTAAAGATGCTCATTTTAATTTGTGAATACTCAAGTTCAGTACCCTTAAATTGCTCTTAGGTTGCCAAGAGCCAGCTCATTTCTGTAGGTGAAACTGCCTATCACATATAAGAACAATAACTTAGATTTACTTAATTTGTTGTGGCTCATCTGGGGGCTGACTATTTTGAGCATAACTGTTGTAATCAGCAGAGACAGCAGGAACTTCAGAATTCAGTGGACCTATGCTCAAATTGAAGTGGTGGGGCAAATCATGGGCAAGTCATTTAACTTCTTCATCTATAAACTAGAGATTCTATTATATTCCTACCTAATTGCAAGACTTTGAAATTATTTATATAAAATGTCTAACACACAGGCTCTAAAAAGTCATTATGAAATAAAGTCCAGTCTGTTTATTCTACAAAGATGAATTCTATGGTACATATTACTCTCTGCAGGTCCTCAGAAATATCTGAAACAAGTAGATTCCAGAATAGGCACGTGTTCTACCCAAAGCAACATCTTTAGGATTGAAAAATCAGGAAGCCTGATGAAAGGTAATCTTAGCAATAAGAGGAAAACAGGGATTTCCCTGATGGTACAGTGGTGGTACAGTCTGCCTGCCACTGCAGGGGACATGGGTTCGATTCCTGGTCCAGAAGACTCCACGTGTGGTGAAGCAATGAAGCCTGTGCTCCATAATTACTGAGCCTGTGCACCACAACTACTGAGCCTGTGCACCACAACTACAGAAGGCAGCATGCTCTAGAGCCTGCATGCGCCAACTACTAAGCCCATGTGCCTAGAGCCTGTGCTCTGCAACAAGAGAACTACTGCAACGAGAAGACTGTGCACCACAAAAAAAGTAGCCCCTGCTCACCACAACTAAAGAAAGCCTGCAAAAAAGACCCAGTGCAGCCAAAAAGAATAAAAAATGTTTTTTTTAAAAAAGAAATAGGAACAGTCCAAGGTAGCTTTTGGGTTACCTTGGCAAGGAAGACAGGAACTGGAGAGATGACAATGATGGTGAGAAACTTCTAAGAGTCCTTGAACTAGGGCCTGCAGCTAACATAAATGAAGATGGTTAAGAAAATCAACCACCAGAAAAAAAATTTTCCCTAAATTACACTGTGGGTGTTAACAATATGAACTAAAATATTGGAGTTTATAAATTCAAAGTTAAAAAGAAAAGTTAAACATAGAAAAATTTAACCATTACATTTTTGCATCTGCTCCTTTGACTTGGAACAGGAGGTCTGATGCTTTTCTAATGTACCAAGAGGTCAATGTTAGGTCTTTTATTTTTGTGTTACATGGGTACTAAAGAATTTAGCCTTGAATCCTTTTATTGGGAATGATTAATTTTATCCTATTTCATAATGGAAAACAGCTGCTTTGAAATGTAGGCATTTCCAAATATAAATAGATGTCTTGCATAGTGTTTTTTATATTTAGGATTACTACTCCTCAGATATTTGTAGAATTTTGGCATTTGAATGACATCATGCTTCAATTTCAGTACCACAGCACAGTAAATCAGTATCTCCACTGTCGCTGAATATTCATTGGAAGGATAGAAGCTAAAGCTCCAATACTTCGGCCAGCTGATGCAGAGCCAACTCATTGGAAAAGACCCTGATGCTGGGAAAGGCTGAGGGCAGGAGGGAAAGATTGAGGGCAGGAGGAGAAGAGGGCAACAGAGGATGAGATGGTTGGATGGCATCACTGACTCATCCATCACTGGATGGACATGAATTTGAACAAACTCTGAGAGACAGTGAAGGCAGGGAAGCCTGGCATGTTGTAGTCTATAGGATTTGCAAAGAGTAAGACCCAACTGAGGGACTGAACAAAAACCACCACCGTAGCTATTCTTTCACACCATGAACATCAATTGTAAAAGGTTATTTTCATAGAATATAAGGTCAGAAAACTTTTTCTGGAATTCAGTAGACAACTCCACAATTTGGGGAATGTAATTCAGGCCATCATGTTCATTTACTGGAAACCAATTTCAGCAAAGTCAGCCAGTCTATCTCCTGCCAAATGAGTGGTCCTAAGGCATAATTTTGCTAGGAATGAGCAAATACAACCACACATTTGGAAGCTATTTCTGAACAACCTTCCTTTTATTCAAACTGAGCTGTAATGTCAACCAAATAGGTCAAATATATGATTTTAGTCTTTGCTGGTGTGCTGAATGTCTTTTGGATGCCAAGTAAGTTGTTTTTCTCCAGTATCTTCAGTACCATACCTCAACTACGTCAATTAATCTCCATAATAGGGCAGATTTCCGTGACATGAATCTAATAATTCACTAAGCAAAGTATTCAACTATGTTAGGTGCAAACCACAATGTTAATTACCAGTGACAGACATGATTCATTTTGAACATCTTGCATAAAAAATGGAATCCTAAGGAATAATACAATGAACAGCCTTAAGTCTTTGTAAAATGTTTCTGTAAAGGAACTGAAGTTTCCTAAGTGCAACGGTAACATTATTGCAGAAGCACCATCTGTAGTCATATTCATTAATTTTGACCAATCTATACTAAAAATTTCAAGACTTTTCTCAACATAAAAAATCCAGATATTTCTAGATGAACCCATCACAAGTCACTCCAAAAGAGTTAAGACTGCATCAAAATTATTAACATATAAATTATATATCTAGGTGCAGTTCTCAAACTTTAGGGTGTATCAGAATCAGTTGGGGGGCTTATTAAAACAAATCGCCAAGCTTCATTTCCAGTAGGTCTGGGGTAAGGCCTGATGCGTATTTATAACAAGTTCCCAAGTGGTACAATGCTGTTGATCAGGGACCATACTTTGAGAACCACTGGCTAGACACATAGTTAAGTGTATTGTTAAATGTACAATGTTTATATCTGTTGTAGCCAACTGTAATCTAAAACTTTATAATTAAACTTGACACTATTTGTCACAAAAATGTTCAGCCACCAATCTTAAACATCCTGAACAGTATCTACTACTTTTGCAAATGTTTGTTCATGATGTAAAATTCTGCTGTACTCAACACTCCTTTTTTAAATCACTACCTACAAAAAGCTTTTCAAGCCCTGGCAATTTTTTCATGTAATATATAATCACATTTCATGGCAGTATTATTTAATTCTGTCTGTATTCAAAAACAACCTATTGAAATTCCAATCCCTTTTTAAAGTTCTGTTTCAGCACTCATTCTTGTATACTGGTCATATTTCTTACAATGGTTTATTTTTAAGTGGTATCTTACATTACAGTCTTTCAACAAACACACTGTGTTTAGATACATCATCACTTCCACTAGGAAATAGACTCCCTTTGATTTTCCTTTAAATATTTGTCCTTCTTGTGTAAGTTTCTCCACTCTTCAGATATGAGTACAAGAAATATTTCATATTCTTCAAAACTACTATAAAAAAGGACAAGCAAAAAAGAAAACAAAACAAAAAGTAGTACAAGCACAACAATCAATAGTGTTTTAGTTTTCTATTTTTGTGTAACAAACTACCCCCCAAACTTAGTAGCTTAAAAAGCATTTATTTTTGCATAGTGTCTGTGAATGTGGCTTAACTGGGTTCTTTGGCTCAGGGTCTCTCACAGGCTGTAATCAAGGTGTCAGCTAAGGTTGCAGTCATCTCAAGGCTTGACTGGGAAAGGATCTGCTTACAAGCTCACTCAGGTGGCTGTTGGCAGGATTCAGTTCCCTGTGGGCTGTTGCACTGAGGGCCTCAGTTCCTCACTGGTTGTTGGTCGGAGGCTGCCCTCAGTTACTTGTAATGTAAACGTCTTCATAGGGCAGCCCACAATATGGTAGTTTGCTTCACCAGAGTGATCAAGCACAAAAATCCAAGGGAGAAGAGAGTACAAACAAGATGGAAGTTGCAGTCTTTTATAACCTAATCTTGGAAGTGACATCTCATCACTTTTGCTATATTCTGTTCATTAAAAGCAAGTCACAGTGCAGCCCACACACAGGAGGTGGAGGTAGATTAAACAAGAGTGTGAATACCAGGAGGTGGGAATTACTAGGAGCCATGTCAGTTAAGTTCAGTCGCTCAGTTGTGTCCGACTCTTTGTGACCCCATGAACCACAGCACACCAGGCCTCCCTGTCCATCACCAACTCCCGGAGTCCACCCAAACCCATGTCCATTGTGTTGGTGATGTCATCCAACCATTTCATGTTCTCTCATTCTCTGTAGTCCCCTTCTCCTCCTGTCCTCAATCTTTCCCAGCATCAGGGTCTTTTCCAATGAGTCAGCTCTCCTCATGAGGTGGCCAAAGTATTGGAGTTTCAGCTTCAACATCAGTCCCTCCAATAAACACCCAGGACTGATCTCCTTTAGGATCGACTGGTTGGATCTCCTCACAGTCCAAGGGACTCTCAAGAGTCTTCTCCAACACCACTGTTCAAAAGCATCAATCCTCGGTGCTCAGCTTTCTTTATAGTCCAACTCTCACATTCATACATGACTACTGGAAAAACCATAGCCTTGACTAGATGGACCTTTGTTGGTAAAGTAATGTCTCTGCTTTTTAATACGCTGTCTAGGTTGGTCATAACTTTCCTTCCAAGGAGTAAGCGTCTTTAAATTTCATGGCTGCAATCACTATCTGCAGTGATTTTGGAGCCCAGAAAAATAAAGTCAGCCACTGCTTCCACTGTTTCCCCACCTACTTGCCATGAAGTGATGGGACCAGGAGCCATGTAGAAGATGGCTACAATGAAAGGCAAGTGGTACTTGGTCAAACACCATGGAGCAGTACAGACTCCAATAAATGAAGACCATGTGGCTTGACAAAAGGGGCAAGTCAGTGTTGCACGAGGATGATAGTTCAAGAGCAGCTAGAATGTTAAAATTCTTGGTAACATTTCACAAGTTTTAAAATGTTGGCAACAAATCCATACTTGTTAAAAATGAGTGTGTAAAATGCAAGTTAAATGATAGAAGGAAATGAAAAACCATTCAACTAGATGCTGCCTTAATATTCAATCCAAACCCACAATGTGACTTTAGATCCTGATGAACACTACTGATCAATGAAAATCAATGGAATTCTTTTAAAAAAATATGTGGAGCTATGGGCTGCCAGTTTGCCATCCTTGCTATAATCCTTGTGATTTTCTTTGTGGTATAGATGAAAATGCAAAAGTTTTGGTATCTGAAATACAAATTGTGGTCCTGCCACTTTCACTATGTCCTTGGGCCTAGGACAAGGGTCAGAGAAAAGATCCTCAGGGCTACTACTGTTAGTATTTTCTTACTTGTCTTTCCTACTAGACTATGAGCTCCTGGAGGATTAGAGTACCACTCCACCCGACTGCAGTGTTCCCTTATCTCACTTTCTTAGTTCATTTTTCCATACAGCACTTACTATACTTCCTAAAAGACAATACACTTTGTCTTTTTATCTGGTTTATTGTTTGTCCTTCCTACCAGAATATAAACTTCATGAGGTAAGAAACCTGTTTTTGTTACTGTTTTATCCTCTCAATATTAAACTGTGCCTAGTGCACAGTAGAAGCCCATTAAACATTTATATAAGGAATAAATTCCATTGTTCATAGTACAGAGCACAGGGTGTCAAACAGAATAGGTGTTCAAAAAATGCTAAAAAGCATTCATTGTTCTGATAAGAAAAATGAAGTGAAATGAGGCCAGAGAATGGTAGGCAGGTCAAGAAGTACCCTGCATGTCATGTCAAGCTTAAGGCATGAGAGTGAAATGTCAATGTCCAGCTTACTTGGTATACAATATATTTTGTTCAAAGTAATTGAAGCTGTCACTAATATGGCATTTACTATATTGCATATAATGTTCTAAGCACTGTACTTAATTTAATACTCACAATAAAGTCTGTAAATAAGATTAAATAACATAATTAATCTATGTAAGCTACTTAGCCCAGGTGGTAGCTATCATTACTAAGACCAAGGGGAAATTTATTCTATAAGTGCATTGCTAAACAGCTACAAAGCTTACTTTTCCTTAACAAACTGTGGCAATTACATTTGAAATTGAGTAAGTTTCATGGAATGAACCTATAACATTATAAAACACTGGCTCTAAATTCTTCCTTATCTGCCTTTCAAAGTCTTCTATAGTAAATAAGGCTATCAACTTACCTCTTTCTCTTTCATTAACCATTATTATATACAATGCAAAATCTCTGCCCTCTTGGAACACAATTAAAAGATAATAGGGCCACCCAATATGGATGGGTCATAGTGGAAAGTTCTGACAAAATGTGGTCCACTGGAGAAAGGAATGGCAAAAACACTTCAGTATTCTTGCCGTGAGAACTCCATGAACAGCATGAAAAGGCAAAAAGACATGACACTGAAAGATGAACTACTCAGGTTGGTAGGTGCTCGGTATAGTACTGGAGAAGAGTGAAGAAATAACTCCAGAAGTAATGAAAAGACGAGCCAAAGCAAAAACAACACCCAGTTCTGGATGTGACTGGTAATGTAAGTCAAGTCTGATGTTGTTAAGAACAATAATGCATAGAAACCTAGAACGTTAGGTCCATGAGTCAAAGTAAATTGGGAGTGGTCAAACAAGAGATGGCAAGAGTGAACATCAACATTTTAGGAATCAGTAAACTCAAATGGACTGGAATGGGCAAAATTAATTCAGATGACAATTGTATCTACCACTGGGACAAGAATCCCTTAAAAGAAATGGAGTAGCCCTCATAGTCAACAAAAGAGTCCGAAATGCAGTACTTGGGTGCAATCTCAAAAATGACAGAATTTCATTTCCACGGCAAACCATTCAACATCACAGTAATCCATGTCTATGCCCCAATCAGGAACGTGTAAGAAGCTGAAGTTGAATGGTTCTATGACTACCTACAAGACTTTCTAGAACTAACATACATAAAAGATGTTCTTTTCATCATAGGGGAGTGGAATGCAAAAGTAGGAATTCAAGAAACACCTGGAGTAACAGGCAAGTTTGGCCTTGGAGTACAAAATGAAGCAGGGCAAAGTTTTGTCAAGAGAATGCACTGGTCATAGCAAACACCCTCTTCCAATAACACAAGAGATGACTCTACACATGGGCATCACCAAATGGTCACTACTGAAATCAGACTGATTATACTCTTTGCAGCTGAAGATGGAGATGCTCTATACAGTCAGCACAAACAAGACTGGGACTGACAGTTGCTCAGATCATGAACAACTTAGATCAGGAACAACTTATTGCCAAATTCAGACATAAACTGAAGAAAGTAGGGAAAACCACTAGACCATTCAGGTATGACCTAAATCAAATCCCTTATGATTATACAGTGGAAGTGACAAATAGATGAAAGGGATTAGATTTGATAGAATGCCTGAAGAAACATGGACGGAGGTTCTTAACATTTTACAGGAGGCAGTGATCAAGACCATCTCCGAGAAAAAGAAATGCAAAAAGGCAAAATGGTTGTCTGAGGAGGTCTTACAAATAGCTGAGAAAAGAAGAAAAGCTAAAGGCAAAGGAGAAAAGGAAAGATATACCCGTCCGAATGCAGAGTTCCAACGAATAGCAAGGAAAGAAAGCCTTCCTCAATGAACATGCAAAGAAATAGAGGTTAAAGACTAGAGCTCTCTTCAAGAAAATTAGAGATACCAAGGGAACATTTCATGCAAACAGGGGCACAATAAAGGACACAAATGGTATGGACCTGACAGAAGCAGATACCTGACAGAAGCAGAAGATATTAAGAAGAGGTGGCAAGAACACAAAGAACTACACAAAAAAGATCTTCATGGTCCAGATAACCATGATGGTGTGATCACTCACCTACAGCCAGGTGACATCCTAAGTGTGAAGTCAAGTGGGCCTTTGGAAGCATCACTGTGAACAAAGCTAGTGGAGGTGGTCGAATTCCAGTTGAGCTATTCCAAATCTTCAAAGATGATGCTGTGAAACAGCTGCACTCAATATGCCAGCAAACTGGGAAAACTCAGCAGTGGCCACAGGACTGGAAAAGGTGTTTTCATTCTAATCCCAAAGAAAGGCAATGCCAAAGAATGTTCAAACTATACACAATTGCGCTCATCTCACCTGCTAGCAAAGTAATGCTCAAAATTATGCAACACTATGTAAATTCAACAATATGTGAATCAATAAGTTCCACATGTTCAAGATGGATTTAGAAAAGGCAGAGGAACCAGAGATCAAATTGCCAACATCCATAGGATCATAGAAGAAGGAAGAGAGTTCCAGAAAGACATCTACTTTTGCTTTATTGACTAAACCAAAGCCTTTGACAGTGTGGATCACAACAAACTTGGAAAATTCTTCAACAGATGGGAATACCAGAACACCTTACCTGCCTCCTCAGAAATCTGTATGCAGGTCATTAAGAACCAACTGTAAGAACCGGGCATGAAACAACAGAATGGTTCCAAATTGGGAAAGGAGTACCTAATGGCTGTATTGTCACCCTGCTTATTTAACTTATATGCAGAGTATATCATGCAAAAAGCTGGGCTGGATGAAACACAAGCTGGAATCAAGATTGCCAGGAAAAAAATCAGTAACCTCAGATATGCAGATGATACCACCCTAATGGCAGAAAGCAAAGAGGAACTAAAGAGCCTCTTAATGAAAGTGAAAGAGGAGAGTGAAAAAGCTGCTTTAAAACTCAACATTCAGAAAACTAAGATCATGGCATCCAGGCAAATAGATGGGGAACAATGGAAACAGTGACAGACTTTATTTTCTTGGGCTCCAAAATCACCACTGATGGTGACTGCAGCCATGAAATCAAAAGACACTTGCTATTTGGAAGAAAAGCTATGACCAACTTAGACAGCTTAT